TTCACTGTATAGTCAAGTTCACTGTGTAATTTCGTTAACTTTTTGGGGGGATTTGCAAACCTATACATTTTTGGAATCTGTGTGGTACAGGCAATCAGAAAACCAATGTTTACAATTTGCCGGAAGCATGCATGGTGGCCATCTTGGATTTTCAAAATGGCCGCCTTCAAAAAGGGTGTTTCTCAATATCTCAGCATCCAGGTGGCCTAGAGTCATGATTTTAACGGCTAAACATACATTTTCAGGGGTGAGGAAGCCAGTGGTACAAAGTAAAATAAGCTAAACATACTCACAAAGCGGCCATCTTGGATTTTCAAAATGGCTGCCTTGAAAATTGGTGTTTCTCAATTTCTCAGCATCCAGGTTTCCTAGAGTAATGCTTTTTAACGCCTAAACATACATTTTCAGGGGTGAGGAAGCCAGTGGTACAAAGTAAAATAAGTTAAACATAACCACCAAGCGGCCATCTTGGATTTTCAAAATGGCTGCCTTGAAAATTGGTGTTTCTCAATATCTCAGCATCCAGGTTTCCTAGAGTAATGCTTTTAACGGCTAAACATACATTTTCAGGGGTGAGGAAGCCAGTGGTATAAAGTAAACTCAGCTAAACATAACCACAAAGCAGATTTTCATGTTCATTCCATTATAATACATTTTTTAAATGGCTCAAAACTTCTACATGTAGCAAGTCAAACCTCTAGCATGTCTAGGCAGCTTCTTGGACAACTTCAATATCATGATAGCATGACAAAATAAGTGTGGTATAACAAAATCTTTGTTATATAGCAGAATATTTACACATCATCATCATCACTGTCACTGGTCGGCAACATGTCATTCCTAGAGTCTTCATCATTCAGGCACCGGGTGCTGCACTTGCAGAGGTCTGTGCATGATAAGTTCTTGAACCTGCAAGAGCATCGAGATGTTGAACAGTCTGCTCTGCACTGGCATCTCACCATCTCAATGATGGCCTTGGGGGCTGGGAGGACCTTAGTTGTGATTGGCTTCACCTGATCAGCTGCTGTGTCCTTGTAGAAGCCATGCTGCAGCGGATCCAGGAACTGCTGCTGAGCAATGCTTGCCTGGCCCCATACTGTGGCCTGGATCTGGACTCGGTGGATGTGCTGCTTGAGAGCACCAAGGGTGGGAGGCAGCTTGTCACTTTCAGCCATATGCTTGCAGAAAAGATGCCATCGCAGCTCAGGGATGCTCGCAATCTGGATGCCCTTTGGCGCGTATGCAGCACAGACGAATGTAGCCAGCGTTGACAGCAGCTCTTCAGTGACTTAAGCGGCATCTGAAAGCATCTGCAGAGCATTGATGACTACTCCGCCTGCTTTGAGGTAGACTTTCAGCCAGGTTGCCTTTCCTATGCGAGAGAACCTCCCAGTGTTGTCTGCCCCCGTGAATGCGTGGAAGGCTGGCAAAGCCTTTGCTCTCTCTGGACCTAGATCTGTCCATATTGGCTGCACTTGGACCACTCCGGAAGCCATTGACATGGACGTGTTTCTCAGCAGAAGGTCATAATGTGCTACGACCAGCACCAGAACATCAGTGTCTGGGGAGAAGACCACCAACTCTGCATCAGGTGGGTTCCTCTGTGATGCCAGCACTGCATGATAGATTAGCAGCGTGTCCGCCTCTTCGTGATTGTTGTCCTCGATTAGCAGCTCGCTATTGCTCCTAGTACGTCCTGCGGCAGATGCGATAACCAGCTTTGACGAGTCTTGGTTGTACTCCAGGGTTTTAGCTGCCAGATACTCAAGCACATCACAATGAGCCGGTTCCTTTCCCACGACAAAACGAAGGCTGATCTGACTGAGTATCTGGCAACAAAAACCCTGGAGTACAACCAAGACTCGTCAAAGCTGGTTATCGCATCTGCCGCAGGACGTACTAGGAGCAATAGTGAGCTGCTAATCAAGGACAACAATCACGAAGAGGTGGACACGCTGCTCATCTATCATGCAGTGCTGGCATCACAGAGGAACCCACCTGATGCAGAGTTGGTGGTCTTCTCCCCAGACACTAATGTTCTGGTGCTGGTCGTAGCACATTATGACCTTCTGCTGAGAAACACGTCCATGTCAATGGCTTCCGGAGTGGTCTAAGTGCAGCCAATATGGACAGATCTAGGTCCAGAAAGAGCAAAGGCTTTGCCAGCCTTCCACGCATTCCCGGGGGCAGACAACACTGGGAGGTTCTCTCGCATAGGAAAGGCAACCTGGCTGAAAGTCTACCTCAAAGCAGGCGGAGTAGTCATCAATGCTCTGCAGATGCTTTCAGATGCCGCTGAAGTCACTGAAGAGCTGCTGTTAACGCTGGCTACATTCGTCTGTGCTGCATACGCGCCAAAGGACCTCCAGATTGCAAGCATCCCTGAGCTGCGATGGCATCTTTTCTGCAAGCATATGGCTGAAAGTGACAAGCTGCCTCCCACCCTTGGTGCTCTCAAGCAGCACATCCACCGAGTCCAGATCCAGGCCACAGTATGGGGCCAGGCAAGCATTGCTCAGCAGCAGTTCGATCCTGGATCCGCTGCAGCATGGCTTCTACAAGGACACAGCAGCTGATCAGGTGAAGCCAATCACAACTAAGGTCCTCCCATCCCCCAAGGCCATCATTGGGATGGTGAGATGCCAGTGCAGAGCAGACTGTTCAACATCTCGATGCTCTAGCAGGTCCAAGAACTTATCATGCACAGACCTCTGCCAGTGCAGCACCCAGTGCCAGAATGATGAGGACTCTAGGAATGACATGTTGCCGACCAGTGACAGTGATGATGATGATGTGTCAAGATTCTGCTATATAACAAAGATTTTGTTATACCACACTTATTTTGTCATGCTATCATGATATTGAAGTTGTCCAAGAAGCTGCCTAGACATGCTAGAGGTTTGACTTGCTACATGTAGAAGTTTTGAGCCATTTAAAAAATGTATTATAATGGAATGAACATGAAAATCTGCTTTGTGGTTATGTTTAGCTGAGTTTACTTTATACCACTGGCTTCCTCACCCCTGAAAATGTATGTTTAGCCATTAAAAGCATTACTCTAGGAAACCTGGATGCTGAGATATTGAGAAACACCAATTTTCAAGGCAGCCATTTTGAAAATCCAAGATGGCCACTTGGTGGTTATGTTTAGCTTATTTTACTTTGTACCACTGCCTTCCTCACCCCTGAAAATGTATGTTTAGCCGTTAAAATCATGACTCTGGGCCACCTTGATGCTGAGATATTGAGAAACACCCATTTTGAAGGCGGCCATTTTGAAAATCCAAGATGGCCGCTTTGTGGTTATGTTTAGCTTATTTTATTTTGTACCACTGGCTTCCTCACCCCTGAAAATGTATGTTTAGCCGTTAAAATCATGACTCTAGACCACCTGGATGCTGAGATATTGAGAAACACCCATTTTGAAGGCGGCCATTTTGAAAATCCAAGATGGTCGCCATACATGCTTCCGGCAAACTGTAAACATTGGTTTTCTGATTGCCTATACCACACAGATTCTAAAAATGTATAGGTTTGCAAATCCCCCAAAAAAGTTAACGAAGTTCAATATCTGGACATAGTGAACTTGACTAGTATGTAATTTTTCTCGTCGGTGACGTCTGAATGACCCAAGTCTGTTAATTTCTATGAATTTAACTTTAAAAGAATGTTCATACATAACAGAAAAATCCGTATACTCGCAGAATACATTCAGTATACAGAGAACAGGACACAGTAAGTGGAACAAATAACAGTAAAAAATTAAAATAACAGCCAATACGAAGCGAGGTGCAAAAAATATGTAGGTAGTATAACAAGCAATTTTTTAAATTTTACTTGTTATTCTGTCTATAATTGTAGGGCAAATCTGCAATGGCCCATGGCCAAGCATCTTTCTCATGACATACTCTGACTGTGTGCCATTCCCGCAATCCCATCACCTATCTGCTATACTATAACACACTATCTATGTGACCAACGCATGTTCACGCGCGCACCTACACCATGTGAAAACAAAACATTTAGACTCCATTAAGACAATACACTGCCAGAAGCTCCGTGCTTAAAGTACACCAACATGTTTTGAAACTGTGACTCAAGAACTCAACACGAAAACCAAGAAGGGCTAAGATGAAATTTTATGAAAGCTCAAACGACTTTCTAAATAAATGTAATGCAGTCTTGTTTATAGCCGTCCACGTACCTTACTGCTTCACGTACACGCAACATCATGTGTCATTGATTGATATATATTCCATTATAAAGACCGTCATTTTGGATTCCCAAATTGCATAGCAGTTGATCATGTAACCATTTACTAAATCTAAAGTGACTACTTGACAGCTAGGTTGTGGGTTCAGAAAACACGTAACTGACAGAATCACTAGAATTGTTTGTACATTAATGTGAAAAAATTAACCATGAACGTTATGGGCTCCGTGCGCGAACAAAAGAGGGCGCGTGTTTGAGCTCCGTGGACGGGGGACACAGCATGCGCGTACTATACTGTACTGGTTCGTGCGCAAAGTACGCACGAAGTTCCTGAGTGTGCAAAAGCTATAGCAACCGCGTCTTCGCGTGAGCGTCAGGCGTCGTCGGCGCGCGAATACATTCGAATTCAACTTGCAATGGTCTCCGAGACTAATCTCTGCCTCCAATAACCGTTGGAAACATTCGAAATACGCAGTGGATGGATCGGGAACCAGTCTAGATCACCCCAACTCTCCTTTTCTGGCCTTTGATGGGGTACTTGTACACGGAGCGGATAACTATCAAACATGAAAATCAACAGGGAGTACATTAGCCCTAACCGTCTGCACTTTAACAAGGATTCTGCGTCCTGAACCCGTAGGGTTTGGGTAACTTTAAAAAAAGGGGGAGATTAGGCCTATACAGGTCCAACTGTATTTGAATTGTTAAACATAAAATTTAGTTTAGCCAAAATATTTCAGTAAAATGCTGAAATGTTCTCATTCCAGAACCCATTCGGTCTCGGCAAGATGGGTAGTTACCCGGCAAGCAACAAATCCAAAGAGATTGGACTCTCGCGTACATGGGTGGAGTTCGAGGACGACTGGTTCGCTCAAGGGGCCTCCCGACGGGTTTACAAGGGGACATTTCATGGTACCCCCGAAAAGGAAGGAAAACGATGCGTTGTTAAAGTTTATAAAGAGGAATGGTATGACGACGCTAAGGACTATGCGTGGAAAGTAGATGACCTTGCCTACTGCAAAGCTAATGAGATGGCACAGTTGTTTAACATGCATCACACCGCCATGTATCCAACAAGCATCAATCGTAAGATAGAGTTTGTTAAGCCCGAATTTACTCGCGTTGACGCCCATGCTACTAACTATTTCCTTGGATTTCTTCCATATTACAGAACAGTCAAAGGCAAACTGGCATTCACAAGAGACACAGTCACAAACGTTATTCCCTCAAATGCGTCGGTACTTGTCGAAAGGTACCTTGAGGGAGATTACGTCAAATTCACGAGCAACACTGGATTCGTAGACCCTGAAAACGGCGCCTTGCCAGCTGCTTTCAGTCATTTTACTTATCACGCATCCGAAGGCGAGATTTTGGTCAGCGATCTGCAAGGAGTGATGAGCGGTACACGGTACACGTTCACCGACCCAGCAGTGCTGAGTGGAGGCATAGAGTATGGCGTCTATGGACCTACCGATTTAGGGAAACTCGGTATTGTAAAGTTTTTCAAGAGTCACAGTTGCAATGAACTGTGTAAAGGGCTGAATAAGCCCCACATATTTAATGTTACGCGGGGCGAACAGGTGGTCATGGATCAAATTATCCAAAACATGTCAGGCGAGAAGTCCTCCACATACACGTATCAGTTAGGCAAGTCGTCTGGCGTCTCAAAGTCTGAAGTCGAAAAACTACAGCGAAAAATTGAGCTGGAGACAGTCCCAGAAGAATCTGACTCAGATGTAGAAACTGAATACCACAGTGGCCTACAACAAATCGATTCGGCGTATACCACTATGTACGGTGAACTTCAGTCATCAAATACAATAGATCAAATCAAGGCTTCAATTAGCAAATCCATGCCAGACCCCAGTTCCTCATACATACATTCGCTGCGTATTTTTTCTGATTCAAATTCAGATTCAGATTCAGATTCAGATTTATTTCCTGACTTGCATTCACTCAGGATTCTATGATTGGATAAAAAAAAAAAAGTCTCCGGTTTCTGCGCGCGTGTCGCTGTACCCTTGCGCGTCAGCAAAATTAAAAAGTTTTCTTTTTTTTTCAACGTAAGATGATATGTCTCAAACCGCCAAACTCAACTGTTCGGCTGGGTCCTGCTGCTGCACAATTGTAACGTGTTTTTTAGATGGGGTTACGATCGAGTATAATCTTAATGTGGCCTCTCTGGGCTCCCATTATTTTGCACTAAATTTATTCGGGCACCATGCATTTGCAGATGTAATTCTGTAATTGTGCGTCTGGAAGCCAGACTGAGAGAGCGATGGTCGTGTATCTGGAACCTGTAAACGCTTTTTAATCGCGCAATATGTAAGGGAACAGACTAATGACCATCTGGCAGCTCATGCATGATGTCGATGTCGCTGTATGGTCTGACGTCACCGTTTTCTCAGATTTTTGTCTTGACAATCCAAATTTCCGGAAGAATGTTCGTGTCGGTCGAGATCGTAAGTGGGTGCAGAATGCTCAAGCCTTGGCCTTACAGAAATCACCTCAGGCTCCACTCTGAAGGGTGTGTTTTTTAAGGGGATCAAAAACGAAGCGTCATCGGGGGAAAAACCCACGTCGCCCCTCTTCACCCCGGATTTCCCTAAAAACAATCTGCAGTCTGTCTACGACGCGGTTGATTTTGTTTTTGTTCTGAAGGTGGCACAACAAACAACTTACAATAGGACCGTGTTCATGCGTGCAATGGGAAAGTGTCCTAACCTTCACAATCGCCAAAGTCTTTTTGCAGGCACCTACGCAGAAAAGCAAATAAAATAGAGAAATGCATGGCTCTCCCGCATACCTTTGAAGCTTTTCGCTTTCATAGCCATGTAAGCCTCCATTTTTTTACGACAAAAATGAAACGGTCAATAACAGCAATTTTCAAAATGGCTGCATTGCAAGTTTATTATCTTAAACTTCAAAGTACATTGTAGTTACATGGACTGTATACGTAATTATTTCATAGATTTTTTTATTTCAAGTTGGCGGAGGTGAATATTTTCTTCCTGATATGATCTTTAAGTTACTATTTATAAAAATAGTTCCTACTTAATTAAGGTAGAGTTCTATATTAAAAGCAGAACATATCATGTTTCTGGGGTTTTTTTTTTTGGGGGGGGGGTGTTGGGGCGTTTGTTTGTTTGTTTGTTTGTTTGTTTGTTTTTGGTCAATAAACAAATTGTGATATCGCAGTACAATGTCAAGTAGCAAAAGAACGGAAAGTCCAAGCTATTTTCGTTTACGTGGGTTGTTGAAATACACCAACAGCACTATCCCATTTTGTCCAGTCATAGAGTGTGATTTTTTGTACGTTAGTGTGACCCATTATATCGACTATGCATCCATAGTGATGTATTCCAAAGTAAAGGATGTCATTGCTTGATATACGAACGAAATGTTTAGAGAGATCTAACAAAATGTATGCACTGCCCATACATGGGCCTTATATTGAGAAAAATATATCGTTCATCAAATTAGGTCCTCATTTTATAAACTAACAAACGTTAACTAAAACATATAAAAACTAGAGATTCGCGATTGTTGTTACAAACGCAGAGTGGTCGGGTCCAATTATTTTATGAAACACTGTCCAGTTAAGTTATGAATATTATTATGTAAGAACAAAGTATCACGAAATTAAATCCTTTTCACGATCAATTATTTTGTTTAAAAATGCATCTTTAACGGGGTGATAAATTTCAGCAAACATTCTATTAGTCAAAAACGGAAAGTGAATACTGATTTAGTTCGGAGTCGATGTTCATTGTGAAGTTAAATAACGTATGAAAAATTGGAAAATATAAGTGTATGTATTTATAACACCGAACTTCACAGTATTTGGAAGTAAAGGTGAACATTGTAATGATACCGTTATTCAGGCTAAGATATACGACATGGACCAAATGATAGAATTAGATTTAAAATACGATCGTTGGCAAATTCTCATAGAAGTAACTTCCGGTCTGATGACGTCATGAATTCGAAACCTTGCCAAGTAGTCTGTGGTTAATCAAAGCATATCAAGGGGCGATTTGGTTAAATTTGAACCTATGATTTTCAAATAAAAGAAAAGAAACACTATTTTATGTGCCGCTAGGGGGCGCCCTTTCGGAAGATGACGTCATCACACTGTTGTATGTGTCTGGCATTCCTCACTTAACACTTCATAATATATATGTCTGTAGTAAAATCCTTGCTCTTTTTAGTTATATTCAGTTTTTATTGCATTTCCGGTAACACCGGAAGTAAAGGTTAAGCGGTTTTGTGTGTGGGAACAAGAAATGTTTCTCACGGCATAGTCTACAACCTCACTAAAAAAACAAACACGATACTCTATTTAGTTCAAAAGATATAACGCAAACTTTTTGTCAAAATTTGCCTTTAAATCGTTTGTAATTTCATACATGATGACGTCATAATGACGTAACAAAATGTATAACATCTTCGAAACATGGTACAAGTTGTCATTATTTTAGTTACCCATCCTAACACTTAAGTTCTGCCAGATAAACTTAGAATTAAGGGGCATATGACGTGTTTTACTTGTGAACATATTTTATGCAATTTTCTTCTCCTTTAAAACGTTATTGACATTCCTTTTTTTGATAATTGCATTGAGAAGTACATGTACACTTATGATTTCCTGACAAAATAATGAGGGCGTTGTTGTTATACTTTAGGAAGACGCCGTTCCGTTTGGGGGTACTAGTAAAATCGTGAACCCAACATTCGCTCATTAAAAACGTTGCGAGAAAAACTTTGGTGTACAGTCATGCACTGATACCACGGATAATCAAGTAAATATTTACGACAGCAAATATCCAACATTCTAGCAAATTTGGCGGTGAAGTTACACTACACTTTTGCTTATGTGCATGAAATTTGCATCAGCAGAAAAAAAAATTAAAAAAAAAAAATCTGAATGTTTGAATAGAACATGAAGGTGTACTTTAAAGCACTACATTAAACACAATTCGTGGGGCTTACAAACATAATTTAAAACCACGTTTTGTGATGATAGCTATATGTAATAGTCTCAAATTGCGGTGTTGTAGTCGAGTACTATTTTCCGAGTACCGAGTACTGCCGAGTACTTAGGCTGCCGAGTACGAGTACTTGTACCTCCGAGTACAAGAAAGAGTCTCCGAGCTACCGAGTACGAGTACTTGTACTTCTGAGTACGAGTACGAGTACTCACATTTCCGAATACGGCCATACGGCAAATGGTTCATTGTGCGTAATTGGCCCAGGCCCAGTCAGCCAAGGGCGGATCCGGGGGGGAACAAAAGGGGGCCACGCCCCCCCCCCCAAAAAAAAAACGAAACCAATTTTTTTTTTTTATGTGACATCGCAATAAAGGCAGGCAATGAGTACACCACCATCTTTTCCTCCAAAAAACATTGGTTAAAGTGGTCAGAAATTGCCTCAGATCGCACCACAGAGCAACTAGAATCCAAAAAAATTTCGGGGCCCTTAAGCGGGCCCCGAACCCCACGCCGTAATTATACATTCAAGTGGGTGAGGCGTGCACCCACGCGACCCACCCAAGGTATGGTTAACATTTTGTGTACACCTAGTTGGTATTATATATATCTATATATATCTATATCTATCTATATATATATATATATATATATATATATATATATATATATATATCTGCAATAAATTCAGAATATTCTCTTTCTGAACAGACTGTTTCGTACCATAAGGCACTCATCAGCAGAATGACGAAAAAAATAGAATACAAGTAGCATCTTACCTTATTTCGAATCAAGCGCGCGCACGCGTTACGCGCGTTACGTCATTGAAGTTAGTACGCGTTTACGTCACTGAAGTAAGAACACATCTGTCTCGATGCCTGCACTTGGAGACGATTTCGCTTCTCTTATTCAGTGTACCTAGATCTGGCCTACATATGATTATGTACTTCTCTGCTATACACAAATTGCATCTCTTGTTTACGTTAGAGTATGGCAGTGCTTTCAGAACTATGTCCCATTTGATTTCATAGTCTTTCCCTTCGTCCTTTAAGTCCCATATATGTTTACTTAGCTCTGTTTGCGCCCTCTTGCTCTCGGATCTGAATGACTGCTTGTGGTTCGCCAGTCTCGCCTTGAAGGTTGTGGACGTCAGCCCGACGTATGCCTCCTTCCTGCCTTCGCTCGTGACGGTGGCCTGGTACACTATGTTCTTGCTGAGGCACTCCCCGTTCAGCGGGCATTCGGCATTGCGGGGACAACTGCATGTTCTACCACCGACGTCGTCCTCCTGTTTTACCTTCCGTTTGTTGATTGACTGGATCGTTGCCTTCATGTTCGGCATGCAGCTGTACGATAACTTTACTGTGTTCCGGTTGAGCACTTTGTGAAGCTTATGTTCCTTGGGGAAGCATTTGTCTATTATCTGAAGGAATTTCTTTCCAATGTTGGTACGTACGTTCTTGTTGTATGGCGGGTTGTACCATGTTACCTCCCTTTTTCTAGTCCTTTTCCTGGTGTTATTGCCCGGTGTGTACGTCAGTCGATACTTGTGCCCGCTTTTTTGCAGAGCCTCCTGGTAGGCCGGGGCAGCTTTCTCGAATGCCTCCTTGCTCGACGAGATGTTCGAATGCCTCCTTGCTCGAATGCCTCCTTGCTCGAATGCCTCCTTGCTCGTCGAGCAAGGAGGCATTCGAGAAAGCTGCCCCGGCCTACCAGGAGGCTCTGCAAAAAAGCGGGCACAAGTATCGACTGACGTACACACCGGGCAATAACACCAGGAAAAGGACTAGAAAAAGGGAGGTAACATGGTACAACCCGCCATACAACAAGAACGTACGTACCAACATTGGAAAGAAATTCCTTCAGATAATAGACAAATGCTTCCCCAAGGAACATAAGCTTCACAAAGTGCTCAACCGGAACACAGTAAAGTTATCGTACAGCTGCATGCCGAACATGAAGGCAACGATCCAGTCAATCAA